CATCATCATCATCATCATCACCGCCGTCGCCATCACCATGCCAACCGGTTGGCTCAGTTGGTTGAGCATCGGACTTTAGTGCGGGAGGTCGTGGTTMGAKTCCSGACCGGACCAACGCTCAGGGTCTTAAAATAACTGAGGAGAAAGTGCTGGCTTTGTAATTACATATGCAAATGGCTATACTTTCAAGTGGCTCGGATGACCACTTTAAATGGCGGTCCCGTCTCTCCACACTCACTAACCAACATAGGAGGGACGTAAAAGAACCACTGAGAACGTAAAGAAACCCTGGCAGTGAACACCCTCAGTGCCTCCACTTTATTCTAACCATCTCTTACAATCTGTCATTCAATCTGAAATTCACTAAATGTAAAGCGCCTTTGATTATATCATAAACCATTATCATTGATATTAATAWTTTTTTTTCATATTATAAATAGAGATATTTTATTATTGTAGGATATGTGAAGAGATAATCTATTCGTCATATATATCTATATAGATTTAAAAAAAACATTATTAAAAAAAAATTATTATTAATATTATTATTATTATTATCATTATTATTGTCACCATCATCTGCACTACATTATCACCATAACCACTAATAACTTGTTTTTTTATTCTAGTTATTATTATTATCGTCATCATGATTATCTTCTCCATCAATATTCTCCATACATCAATGTGTATTTAAAATAATTATTTTTCTTGAAGGAGCGAGTGAGAAGGACCAGGTTATCATTCAGCAGAAGACTAAAGAACTTGTAGATATTGTAGAACAAAGAAATAATCTTGTAGAAATTCTCGACGAAGACCGAAAGCGGTGAGTATCTACCTTAGTTATTTACATCATACATTATTTCTGTACTGTATTAAATGTCTTTCTTACAGAAGTATAACAAATCGTACTTCGAAGTGAGTGCGAAAGATCCTGTAGCCTTACCCGCGTAACTATAACTACACTTTGTGATTGGGTAAATTACTGGAAGACAATGAGAAGCCATTTCAATGTTATGGCATGTCGTACCATGTACTTGCTAAAAGTCAGCACCGTTCGTCGTTTGCCATACACTCATATAAATGAAAACCCATTCATAGGAAAAAAAAAAAACCACTTTTATTTAAGTGTCTAGTCGTTCTAGCGCTTTTGCACTAATTGGGGACACTTTTCACTCACACGCACTACCACTACATTTAATATTCTATGCACACAACGCTCAACTCACATGTTGATTTTTATGGAGGGAGGAAACCGGAGAACCCGGAGAAAACCCTCGTAGCATAGGAGAGAACAACACATCAAACAAACTCAATTCACATGTGGCGACCGCAGGGCTTGAACCAACGACCCGACCCGTTGGACTCACAGCGGTGAAAGACGACGCGTTAGCCGCGAACGCCACCCATTCTATCCAGTAAGTAATTTCAACGTATCATAATACATTGCCGGGTACAATATTTTTCCTTATCATATCAGTATTTTTAATCATATCTGTATGACATCTAAACAGAGAGCAAGAAGAAGACAAAGCATTCGAGCAAATGATGGCAACTAAAGGTAACCTCGTGAATGGCGTATATCCTCTTAAGAGCAGATTTCGTATGRCCGTTAAAAGTTTTCGGGTACGGACATGTCGCGCCATGACGGTGGCTRTGCCGTGCCGTGCCGTTCCGAAGTAGTTTGACGGGATAAAAACTAATGTAGCGTCTTGTGATCAATCTTCGATTTTCACTGGTGAAGAATACGATCGCACTTCCTCTAAAGAATAAATAAACATCAAATTATAATATTAAGAATTAAGTAACAATGTATCAAAAAATTAAGACACTCAATTCAGTGGACTTTTCCCGAGCATCTTTATTATTTGCCTGTTTAAAGACTTGAATAGAAGACATGAGCCGATGTTTGGAGGAGGTCTAAATAATTAAAACTTAAATTAACACAATTAACGTTTTAGGGATAAAAAGTTTAGACTGATTCCATAAGTCGTAGTTTTTGCTCCATTGTGGGTTGTTAGCGATATCCAGGATCGACAAAAGAGCGAAAACACCGACTTATGGAATCAGTCTATACAAAAGTTCTACTTTCATAAAATCTAAAATTTCTAAATCAGTAAATTGTAAACACAGAAAATGGATGAATAATAAATAACCATAAAGCTTTCTGACTAAAGTTAAAGAAAGTTAAAAAGTGTCTAATGTAATCAGRCTGACATTAAACATTAAACAAGACTACTCTGCAAAGTTAAATAAAAGCCAAATTTTCTATAAAATCAACTTTCAAATCTAATCTACCTTGGTGGTACTGTAATTTGTTTATAGAGATACAAACGTCAACGCAGCTATAACATCAGTTGAGTATATTAAAATATATTAAATAAATATGATAAATATAACTTTATTTCAAGTGCTAAGAAAATGCAAGAGCTGGTACTGAAAATGACTGATATAGACTCATGAAAAGAATATAATTTTAAAAGAATAGAAAAAGAAGACTAAAGACTGTGGTAAGTGAAATGCTGTTATCGTCGATCTAATAGTTGAATCCAAGTAACAGCATTTCATTTATTACTGCATTTTAAAACTAATAAACCAACTAAAACTTTGTTRCTATATAAACTATAAAACTTCGATGTAAAACTATTTCAAATGTAATGAAATTCACTCTTTTGGTTTCGAARGACCAGGATTTCTCAGTACTACGCGTCGCTCTATTGATATATTGCTGTAAATTGTGTTGTAATCATTACACGTTAAACAATGCGTAATCAGCTGCGTCATATATCGCATCCGGTACCAATGTAAAATAATATCGTCATCAGCTGCGTCACATATCGCGTCATACTAAACAGCATCTGCGTCATGCTAAATATTTAAAAAATCAGTTTCATGTTTCATATTTCTTTCTTTAAATTTAACCTTCTATTAAAACTTTTATTGATTTTGACATCTAGATTTCATAACATCAGTCTAGTGTTATAGTGGATTCTGATGGAAAAGATGACAGAAGCTGATGCATTCTTATCAGACATTTTGAAAAAAATGGGAATTTCACATGAAATTACCYTTGGTCACTCTATTTTATTGCTAACTAATGTTCAAGCAAGAGTATTATATAATTTGTGCTATTTTTGAAATCATTGGTTGTGAGCAGCACAAGTGGATTCACAGTGAAAATGAAAAAACAATATTTTTACATTTTTGTCAGTAATTTATTTGTTATTTCAAGTTTAGTTTAAGATACTGTCAATGAGTGTAGTTCATGTTGCTTTAGAATGTTGAAACTTTTCCCCAGGGCAATGCATGCCTTGGCAATACAAAAGTCAGTCCATCTAATGTAAGAGTGTTACGTCAATCACATTAGGTTTAGATAATGCGATTTAAAAATCTTAATAGGAAGACTGTTGAAAGCATTTTAATCAAGAAATATTAGCATTAAAGGCGCGATTACACGAGCAATTTCCTCTGCAGCTTGTCTTGCAACGACGTTGCGACACAAGTTGCATTGAGCATTGCAGCGTTTAACCTACATCGCAATTTGCAGCCATCGTTGCAAAAAGTAGAATTCGTTTCTACTTTTGGGAACGATTTAGTCTTTCTCCTGCGAGACAAGTTGCAGAAAAAATGCTCCGTGTAATCGAACCTTAAAAGGAAGCAAAGGTCATACATCATGTGTGCCATTTTACAGCAAAACAAATTTCAATTATAATGACTGGCTTGTGGCTTGTAAAAATTAAGATTACTTACCTGTAATCACCTTGGAACAACATTACATAACATCCACTATGAATTATTTTACTTTCCATAATCCCTTTTTACAATCAAAGTTGGGACAATGCATGTGACTTCATAAAGACAACCGTCAACCAACTAGTGAAGCGCAGAAATTACAATACTGAATACTTAAGAATGATGACAGTTGATATTTTGTAAACTTAGGTGTTGTGGTTAGCTTTGCAGGTAATGACTATTCAGCACAGATATTAAATTAAAAGACGTTATGTTGTCATGGATATTTTTGAGTTTGTTTTGTGTTTCTACAAAAATCCCGATAACATTTTTCAAGGGGACCATGGTCATTTTTCGATCCCCAATAACCAATATAAGCATATAAGGGAACTTGGTTATTATGGCTTCATTTTTCCTTCCCCAATAATAAGCAAGGTAAGAAGTTAAAGGAGCCTTGGTTATTATGGCTTCATTTTTCGTTCCCCAATAACCAAGATAAGAATATAAGGGAACTTGGTTATTATGGCTTCATTTWTCGTTCCCCGGCTATTATGGCTTCATTTTTCGTTCCCCAATAACCAAGGCAAAGATAGAAGGGAACTTGGTTATTAATTATAGTGAAGCATGGCCAAGCATAATCAAGCATAATSAAGCATAGTCATGAATCGCCAAGCATAGCCAAGCATAGTCAATCGTGGTCTCAACATAGTCAAGCATAGTGAAGCATAGCAAAGTTGAACCATGCATAGTCAAGATTGATTGACTCCGACGAAGGACTAACGTCCGAAACGTCAGTTACTATTTTCACTACGGTGTATAACTTATCATTCTACGATAACCATGCATAGTCAAGCATGGTCAAGCATAGGTAAGTATGATGAAACATAAAAAAAGCAGCATTGTACAGTCAAGAATAGTCRGTCAAGTCAGTCAGTCAATAGTCCAGTATGGCGAAGCATAGTCAAGCATGGTCAAGCGTAGTGAAGCATAGTCAAGCATAGCCAAGCATAATCAAGCTTAAAAGGTAAATTATACACCGTGAAAAGATGAAAAAACTTACTGACGTTTCGGACGCTAGTCCTTCGTCGGAGTAAAAGAGAAAG